GGTCTGTTTCAGCAACGGCTGAATCAGGACGCCTGGGGCAGAGCAGCTGGGGTGCTGGTGTATTGGTCCAGTAGTGCCGAGGAGCGGTGCTACTGGAGCAACCCAGCAGCACCCCAGCTGCTCTGCCTCAGGCGTCCCCAAGTCAGCCCGCTGCTGAAATTGACCAGCGCTGACTACAGGAAGCCCGAGGCAGAGTTGCTCTGCCCCGGGCTTCCTGGAATCAGCTGCTGATCAGTTTCAGCAGCAGCTGACTTGGGGACGCCTGGGGGTCTTAAGTTGAATCTGTATGTAAGTCGGAACTGGCATCCAGATTCAGCCGCTGAATCTGGACACCAGTTCTGACTTACATACAGATTCAACTTAAGAACAAACCTACAGTCCCTATCTTGTACGTAACCCGGGGACTGCCTGTATTTAATTAATATTGCAATATCATGAAATTATTCCTTAACGTCTGGCAAGCTTTGCAACTAAAGATTATTCACATCTCATTCCCACTGGTTAGGTCTGCAAACAAGACACAAAGTTGTCAATAATAATATTTTTCCACTTAGTGAAAAAAGGAATGTGTTAGAAATAAGCTTCTATGTTTCTTTTTCTTTACTTTTCTATTGCTTTCTTCATGTCTGGAACACACACACTGTGCTGCTTTTCTTCTTCCCTTTTTTAAAGCCAAAATATCTTTTCATTACTTTCTTCATGGTGGACAGAGGGTTAAGACTAATTGTATTCTAGATTTCAGGCTTTATACTTCGTTCTATGTCAGCTTTATGCTATCATCAGTTCCTTTTCTTCCACTAAAGTCCAATATCAAACTGAAAATCTTATTTTTTTCATCTATTGTTGTATGAGTCAGTAGACCTTTACACGGTTTAGTAAATAATTGGATAATGCTATAACAGGATCTCCTAAGTAGATGATGGTGACAGATTGTCATAGCTTTTCAAAGCAGACAAGGAAAGATGGGTCACCAGAACCTTCAGACATTCACATGGGCCAACAGAGTGCTGAAAACCTCACTTAGAGAAATTACCTGCAGGAACTAAGGAACAAATCCATTACCATCCTTCATGAATTCAGGTCTTTCATTTACACTGTACATATCCCCACCTCCAATATTCTACTTCTGATTTTGAGCAGTTTTACATTTTGAAGAAGTCTTTTTAATCTTGTAAGAAGCAGCCTACACAAAGTGCTGCTGCTAATGCAGTATAAACTTGGATTAGCTTAATTAGAGACTTCACAACAAATTAATGACTTTTTAAGCACTCAAAACAAGCTAATTATTTTATATCATATCATTGTTGCTGACATTCCAGTCCTGGGTTTCTATACGGTGAATGTTCAGTTCCTTTCATGGGAAGTAAGCAGATTAACGTAACAACCATTTTTGATAATGTTGCTTCAAAATGCCTACTTCCCATATGCAATAATGATTGCATACACACTATTGGGCTTTGTCTACATTGGCAAGACTGTCTACACTGGCCGCAAGTTCTTGCGCAAGAACACTGATGTTCTAATGTAAGAAATCAGTGCTTCTTGTGCAAGAACTATGACGCTCCCGCTCAGGAATAAGCCCTCTTGCGCAAGTGTTCTTACGCAAGAGGCCAGTGTAGACAAGCAACATGAATTTCTTGTGCAAGAAAGCCCAATGGTTAAAATGGCCATTGGAGCTTTCTTGCGCATGAAAGCATCTACACTGGCATGGATGCTTTTGCGCAAAAGCACATCTCTTGCGCAAAAACACATGCCAGTGTAGACGTTCTCTTGCGCAAATACTTTAACGCAAAAACTCTTGCGTTAAAAGTATTTGTGCAAAATCTTGCCAATGTAGACATAGGCTTGGTGTAGTTAATCCATAATGAATGATTCAGGGGGTTTTGGAATGTGGCACCACACCACATTTGGGATATAGAAAAGCAAAGTTCTAATAATGTTCGTAAAACTGTATCAGAAATATTTGGCAATTTCAGCATTCAGATTCATGCCCTTCACTAGTTTGTTATGTGTGTTGAATAATATATGTTCAATAGCGTTAAATTAATAAAAATGAATACATATGACCTGATCCTCTGAGACGGTGAGTTCTCTTAACTGCTCCTAATGCATCACTTTCCATTGATCCATGTATTGCAACTCCATTGATTCCTCAATTCTTACTTGTACATTAGATGCTGACCTGGAAATCAATAGGTGTGTAAAGTATCCAGCACTTTGAAGACTCAAGCCCATAAAATCCATATTTATTTTCACAGCATATTTATAATATTGATCCAGCAACTTCTCCTGCTTGGGCAGACACAATTGACTCCAACAGGGGGATTTTCATAGAAACAGTAGCAGAACTGGGGCTTATGTGAGCCTGTAATGTGAACATCTTATGTAATGAAAGATCTTTTTAGTTGAGTGCAAGGTTTACTGGCATTTTATTTTGATAAAATGATATATCTGTGCTATTGTTCTATTCTCTTTGCATGTTATTTCTTCTTTACAATCATCTCTCCCGCTTTTTTCATTCCTATGTTCTACTTTTCATCTTCTAAACTTTTCATTTGTATGGTTGCTCTGAGGATAGTTTCCCCTCGTTCCTTCCCAGACAAGTGCTAACACACGTCCCAGCACACTCCACAAGAAAGGATTTCATTGATGGCCTAGCAATTAGCCAACTGCTATGTGTTGACATACCATCTCTTTTTTAGTCTCAGGATATTATTTGTATTATATACCTGATTTCATTTTTTTAAATTAGCTATGTAAATGGAATCAGACAGACCTTCAACTCTGCTGTGAACTGGTGCACTGGTCCTTGTCTACCCTGAGGCCACTCCTATACTTACCATGGATTGATGCTCTGGAGGACAATCTTCGGGCATTCAATGTAGTTGGTTTAATAAGGATCCACTAAATTGAATGCTGAGAGCACCCCTGTTGACACCAGTGCTTCTATTCCTCGCTAGGAGAAAGGGAAGTCAACAGGAGTATTTCTCCCATTGACCTAACACTGTGGGGACAGTGATGTGGTTTGAATTAAGGTACATCAAGTCCAGCTATGCATTTCACATAGCTGGAATTGCGTCTCTTAATTTGAACTTACCCCCTATTATAGACCCACCCTGAGTTTCTCGTGGTGTTTCTTAATATATTCCTAGCAGTGCTGGCTCCAAAACCATGATGAACATCTAGTCTGTCCTCTTGTACATTGCAGACTATAAAAACTGACCACTTCCCACCCAACTCCTTAAAAGGCCCATAACCTTTGATAACAAATACAACAAAAAGGAAGAAATCATACATTTATCTATAGCTTCCAATAAAAATGGCTGACAGAGTGCAGCTGCAGTCCTATTAAGTATGCATTCAAGTTCTGCCACTGGTTATTGTCAAATCAAAGATTATTAATTAAACCTCTTTTAAGATTGGTGTTTTTAAAAGAATTCTTCTGAATGGAAGAATCTGTCTTAAAGGAGGGCCTCTTAAACAGAAATTTAGATTGACGAGTTTCAGCTCTGCAGTGACCTGGCTTTGGCTCTTTTCCATCTTGAATTTCCTGTAGTGCCCGTTTATCTCATCATGGCTTGGTGATGCTGGCTCCATACATTATTTTCCATAGAAAATGAGAGTTCATACATCTGTCTCCTACTGAAAATAATCATGAATAATGACACATCAAATCACTAGTCAGTAAGAAAGAAAATAACTATTCCAGCTATTCCACAAATGGATTTTTGTATTTAAGTTTGGTATCAGGGGCTTTCTTCAGGATGGATTGTCCCAAGCCCTTAGAGGAAGGTGAAGGATGTAGTCAAAAAATTACTTTCTCCCATTCCCAAGCCACAGCAAGGGACAATTTCAGTTTTTGTTCATGGATGCATGCAGGAACCATTCCCTCTGTGCGTCAGTGGATTTCCTGAAAAGCCCAGTCTGTTCCAAAGCTCACCCCCAGAGAAGGTGCCATTTTTACCATTCTGCAAGAAAGTTATCTATGGGGTGGGGTAGAGGAGGCAGCACACACATGTATTTTATCTGGATTAAAGTTCTTTTCTTTGAACATTCCCAGTCTTTTACCTTTGTGCTGTTGAATTTTGTGGTTTGTCACGTATACTGAGCTGTGTTTACAATGCAGGCATAAACATTTCCAGTGCCACAAAACCAGTTTTGCAGCCAGTCCCAGTGTATCTGAAGATGAAACAGTACATAGTACAATTATACCTTCTAAGCCTTTGGTTGTCATTGTGAGTCCGAAAGCACATCATGCGTTTAATAGTACCTTAAAGACTAACAAAACATGTAGATGGTATCATGAGCTTTCATGGGTACAACCCACTTCTTCAGATGACTGGAGTATTAAAAGTTCAGATCCAAGAATAAATTAGGGAAGACGGGAAAAGGAAGGAGAAAAAAAAGAGAGAAAATAGTGAATTAGATTGTTCAAGTAACAAGAGGCTGATAAGAACAATTTGCACCTCTATGAGAACCCATTGGTGGGTTGGTTGATTAAGTCATTAGCATGTGGAAGGTAGTGTTCAAGCCAGCCAATATCTTTATTCATTATTCTCTGATAGGAATCAAACTTGTAAATGAAGTTAAGTTCCAGCCCTTCCCTGTGTATTTGGCTTGTGGAATTGGCCTGAAACAATACGGTGACTTTTAAATTTTTCCAGTTACAGACAAACTCAGCTACCCCCTCTGAAGCTTATGAGTTAAAATATCAAAGTATTATGATTGCACATTTGACATGCAAGATGTGACTTTTGTATTATGTTCTGATACAACATTCTCCACTGTAGAAAATAAAACATCATATTTAGTAATATTTGATAAACCATTTGTTGAATGATAAACATTACTTCATATAATCTATTAAGTGAGATGTGAATGTTTGATATGACACTATAGACCAGGAATGAAGGTAGCCCATTTGTTACCCCAGCATATGAATTATGGTAAATATATGTAGATCAGAATTAAGCATGTTTTGGGTCTAGGTCGTAATTAAGTGTGGCGAAAAATTTTCTACTGAAACTATTTTTAACTGAAAAGTGGATTTTCAACTAAATTAAAATCACATCAGAAAGTATCTACTTTTCTCAATTTTTTTTATTTTGGTTGGAAAACCTAAAAATTAGTCATTCTCACTGGACACAGAAAGTTTGTAGGCCAGCTGGCAGACAGCACAGCTGCAAATGAGCCAGCCAGTCATAAAGAAAGCTACATGTAGTGGAAAAATAGCTATATACCAGCTGTTGGGGGCCACGATGAAAAGTATGAGATTTGGACAGAGGGGGGTAGCTACAGAATCAGTTCAGGAAGTCAGCTTTGTCACAGCTAAGTTCCAAAACAAAGGGAAAGTACACAACACTTGTATCAAAACAGTTCTTTCTAATATGCCACATTCATGGCAAACAATATAATTAATATACAATCTAGGACTTTTAAATTTAAAGAACAGAAGGCTTCAAAACAAATCCTTGGATATGAATGCTTCCGGACTTGGGGAAAATTTGGATCTAGGACTGAACTATGCAGATTGGCACCATTTCTAATTAAAAAATTAGTATTCAGAAACAGGATATTATTTATAAAATAGAAATTGTTGAGACAACAGAACTTTCTTCATACTTATTGCTCCAAGTAATACCGAGGAAACATCAGTAGGGCCTTGATCATGTCTACAACTCTCACGTCTGCTGGTTTGTTTTAATATTTATTTTTCAGCATCACCTTTCAGAAGAGAATTAACTGAAAGGCAAAGCCAAAAAAAGTCAAAAGAGGATACTGATGTGCTCTGAATTATATAGGCTTAATTCTGATACACACATTTTCACAATGCTATACAACTACTAGCATCACATGTGTCACTCATGATTTACCCTGGAATAAGAAAGATTAGAATCAAGCTCTAAATGTGTTTTTTCTCTATTCTAGCCATAACCGTATCCAATGAAGGAGAACTTGCAGCTGGTCCTGCATTGTGCTGTGATCTGTTTAACTAACCCAATGTCTCTTTCCACAGTCCTCTTCAGGAAATGCAAACTGTTTGTTGATTCTCGTAGCCATCTTTGGAACAATCATGTTAGAACCATGCTATAATAAAAACAACCTTTCTTACCTCTTTTCTGCACCTCATCTAATTCTAAAATGCATGGCACAACAAGAGTAAGTGGTGTTTTATAAATCCAAACTGCAAACATGTCAAGAAGTTACATGTTTGCTCTAAACTGAACATAAAGATACATTTATGCATTTCACTGCAACTTAAGATATTGCAATTACTGCAACATGATGTAGAAAAGGAACAAAGGAATAAACTGGTGAGGTGGAGAGTGGAAGATAAGGAATGACTTAAGCTCTGAGGGTACATCTACACTTGCTCCCTAGTTCGAACTAGGGATGCAAATATAGACGACCGAAATTGCTAATGAAGCGGGGATTTAAATATCTTGTGCTTCATTAGTATGATCTTGCCGGCACATTACTCCACTCAACAGCTGTTTCTAAAGTGAAAGTACTCATTTTTTGAGGAGTAACGTTACTTCGAACCAAAGGGTTTGGTATGAACTAACACATCCAGGCGCACACTTTCATTTTCAAAACAGCTGTTGAGCAGAGTAACGTGCCGGCAAGATCACATTAATGAAGCGTGGGATATTTTAATCCCCCCTTCGTTAGCAATTTTGGTCACCTACATTTGCATCCCTAGTTCGAACTAGGGAGCAAGTGTAGAAATACCCTAAGAGAATATGTACTAAACCTGAGAAAGCATACTGCGGTCTTGTGGAAGGAGAGAAAAAAAAGGAAAAAAGATAAATAGAAGTCAATTTCCCTGAACTTAAAAGAGGAATAGCTGAAGCTTGGGCAACAGTGACAGAACAATGAATAATGTCAGGAGGAGAAAAAGGAAAGTGAATATGTCACATGCAGTACAAAAGTCACCTTCAAGAAATTTCTCCCTTATCTTCCATAAAAAAAGGCTTCATAAATTCCATCATCCCAAGTATCCAACATGAAGCAGCAGAGACTAATGGGTAGGCCACTAACTCATGACCAGGAAGCCTGAGTTCTGTTCCCAGGGTCAGCCATTGGACTGCTGTGTGGCCTGGATACATCACTTGGCCTCAGTTTCCCTTCTAGTCTGTTTACTCTGTAAATTCTCACTATGTTTTGTACAACACAAACCATGGTTAGGATCGCTAGGTACTGTGGTATTGTCAACCTTGAATTGATAACTGTTTGAACTATTAAAATTCAGTATTATGTATCCACTTTGCAGGTGACGGTACTATTCACAAACCAGTTTTTATTGCAGAGGAATATTTGTAGGATTAACCAAATAATGTATATCCTGTTTTGTGAAATGCTGTCTTAGAATAGTTAGTGTTTTCAATGGTTAATTCTTTTTGTGTCTAAGTGACATGGCATTTTTTCTGTTCCTTGATTAAATAACTGAATAGAAAATTGATTCAAGCAAATTTTGGCTGAATAATCAGTCATACTACACTTCTTGACACCATGATTTTAGCAAATGTTTTGTGGATACCTGCCCTATACCTGAATACTCATTAATAGCATATAATATCGCACTATGATTCATAGGGCCTGAACTCTGTGTCTTTTATTCATGTAAACATTCCAAAATGTGTTTTTAACTGTTCATCTGGTTCTTATTGACACTTACCGTAAAGATGGAGCTGATTACATCCCATATTCTAGGACAAAAGTAGGAAGAATTGCTTTAAATAAGCATGTAAGTTGTCTTTTCTCCCACACAAAAGCATTCAAATGAGGGAAAAATGAGTAAAAACTTTCTACATTTTTACTCAGTTTATGTTAACCATGGAAAGACTAGTGGCTGGCAGAAGGGAAAAGAGTGTGATGTCTCATCTGCACAGCGTTTGAGGATCCACAGCAAATCCTGCCCTCATTATTGTTGCTCTCAAGTCATCTGAACGAACTCCTTCGTGAGCTATCCAGAGTTTCCTTCATAGCTGGCAGCCAGGCTGGCTCATTGGCAGTTGCAGTATTGCCAATGGGCCCTCACTAAAGCTGTATAATATTTCCCTCAAAGGTAGGGAGGAGATCTGTATCAGAATGAATGCTTCAATGAGCTTTTGAACATGATGGTCTTGATTTGCTTGGAGACCTTGCCACAGAGAGCAGCTATTCCCTGGATTTGTCATGCTCAGAACCTCAGAAATATATTGTTCAGATCAAGTGCTCTCAATTTACAGAGAAGAGTGTGTAGCATAAGTTCTCTCTTCCATTGTACACCCGTGGCAAAATTGCCCTATCTAACATCCAGAAACCCATCGTTCTTCAACTGCTATTTAGAAGATACCACCTCCATCACAAGAGGATCAGTAGTGATGCCTTCTAAATGCAATCCTCAGTCAATTGAATTGTTCTCACATGCTAAGAACCTGAAGTAAGGTTCTATAATTTTTTCTTCTGTTTTGAAGCAGAAAAATCCTATCAGGTTATTTCTTTTATCAGAAAAAGGAGATACACATATAGAATTTTTTTTATAGAAGACAGTGAATGCTTCATTCTTTCCCCTCACACAGAAAATTTCCCCCTTGACAGTTCTTTTTATCACAGTTTCTAGGACAAAATCAATAAATGATCATCCTTGTAATGTCCCCCTTGACAGTACTTTTTATCACAGGACAAAATCAATAAATGATCATCCTTGTAATCTTATATGTGTCTGTTGTTTTAGGTAAAATTAAACCAGAGCAATTTCGTAAGTTCTAGTAGGTGCTTTTTATCAATAGGATATAAAAGATTAAAATCCAAACAAACAATTTTGTGATGCATCATATCCTATTGTCCGTTATAATGGTTTTGCCTTTTTTTAATTTTTTTAATTGTTACCTTCAAATTTGGTATAAATAAGTCTACTCTACATAGCAATACTTCCTGATGATATTAAGTGTTAATATGTATTAATAAATTTTCATAAATTACGTTCACAGTCACTCATCATGCTCCATTTCCTCATACAATAGTTCAGGAGGTGATGAGGCACTGTTCTGAAAATTTCGGGAATAAATGTCAAGATATAGTGAAGAAATAAATGATAACAACTGGCAAGATATAGTCTATATCCACATACAGTACTGTGTATTTATGCATATATGAACTTTGAACCTCAGTTGTTCATGTTACTGACATATGAATAACCATGGGCATGATTATAATGTTTTGTCACTCAGTATTACTCAGATAAAAATATTAATTTTCATTAAACTATAATGTTTTGTCACTCAGTATTACAGATACAAATCAGATAAAAATATTAATTTTCATTAAATACAGTTAATGGTGGGTTTGTTAACCATCTTAAAGTGAAGCTTTGAACTATCAGCTGTATTCAAGAAAATTTCTGCTGTTATAAACTCCAAAATGAGTTTAAAAGTATTTTTTACCCTTTCAAAAAAAATGTTACAGTATATGGGTCTATTAAATTTTAGCCAGAAGATAGCTCTTGGGTAAAGGTAGTCATGTAATAATAATTGCTACCAATTACTGCATCAATCAAAATAAGACCAAGCTCTCTAGACTTACTATCAAGCAATAGCCTCATAAAATTAGTTACTGGTACTTAAAAGAATCAACATGTTAGTGGATGCTGCTGCAATGTACTTAATTAGAATGGGTTATTATTTTGAGGAAATTACTGACATATCTTAGTTGCCTGTCACAGAAGCTCTGTTGTAGAGTAATCAGTGATGTGTAACTGGTGTTTTTCCAATGATATATTGAGTAGGAAACCACAGCAAAACTTCCATAAGATCAACAGGACTGGATGTCTTTTTAAATTATATGATTTAGCTCATACAGAAATTATGGGCATGATGCAGAAATTACTAACTTAGGTTCTATGCTCTGTGTTATGCAGCAGGTCAGAATGAATCATTCTGGCCATAAAAATTTATTGATGTATTAGCACGACCCCATATTTCTAGAGCTAATAAGAAAAATATGTGAGAAGCCACTTTTTGCTGAGCAAATTCCTTTCTTCTTATAATAAAATGTGGGGCAAAATCTTCACAAATTAGTAAATTAGACTTCTAGATAGGTAGATTGTTGTGGTCTGATTTGAGTCAACGGGACATGTAGAGTTATTTAGTTGATGGCAGAAGTAGATGCTCTAAAAATCAGTCACTTAGTTAGGTCCTCAAGCATGAATTTAGGAACCTAATTTAAAATCTTGGCCAAACTCAACATTGAGGACAGATGTGTGCAGAGGATGGAAATTCTAACTTGGGACCATTTCTAATGAAAAATGGTATTCAGAAATAGGATATTATTTGTAAAAAGAAAAATAGTCATTGTTGGGACAACAGATCTTTTTTCATTAAGTGCTCCAAGTAATAATAAAGAAACATCAGTAGGGCCCTGATCATCTCTACATCTCAGGTATTTTGGATTTGACTATCAATTGGAGATGTTCCTTGTGTCAGGCTCTGCAATCTCTAAATAGAAGTATGTGAATCAACCCCATCGCTTCTGGCAGCACCTCCTCAATTGCCTCACAAAACAGTCCCTGCAGACCCACAAGCAACAATGATGTTGTTCATTACTTACTGCAGATCCTCAGAGGGTCCTCTGCTGGTTTCCTATTGCACTGCAGGGGAGGGAGAAGAGGATAGCTTTGGCTGATTCCATTTCTGCCTAGCTGCCAGGTTGTGAAAGCTGCAGGGAAAGCAGGATAGGAGCTGAACTGAGTCCATGAGGGCACTTAGTAAAAGACAGCTGTCTTCCCCAACAGTCACTCGAGGCAGGAAGCCAAGGACAGGGAGAGCTGAAGACAAGCTGAGAAATAACAATCCAGTATGGCTTCCTGATTCTCTCTCCCAGCCAACTCCAGGAATGCAAGCTCTAGCTACTCCTCTTCCCCAACTTAAACCCCTCTCTACTCTCACTGAGCCACAATGTGAGGAAGGAAGTTTAGGACCCAGCCACACCAGGAATTGGTCCACTGGTAAGATCCTCTCAGGAGATCTGTGGGTGGTTCCTGTGCTCGTAGTGCCATCTTAGAGCCAAAAATACAGGGAAGGCAATTTGTTCCAGGTTATTGACTGTGGGCCCTTGGCCTTTTTTAAATAATACATTTCGCCTTCAGGCTAAGAAGTGCAGACAGCACTGTTGTACACACACGTTGCCCAGTCAAACCAGGCTAATAGTTGTTCGGTGTATGTCTTTTGGGGCTTAGTGCCGATTTATGGGCATCTATAACTGCTTCTGCAATTTAAATATGAATGTCATCAAGGCTATAAGTATAAAGCATCTGCTTCTGCTCCCACTGACATCAATTTAAAAACCCTTGATGTCCATGGGAGAAATATCCAGCCCAGAATGTGCATAAACTGGACATCAGTACACGTATCTGGAGCACAGGTTTAAATACATTGCTGCTGAGTCCTCTCTTTGCTTTTCAGTCAGCTCATTATCTGACATCTCTTAGAGGAGCACTGTTCATTATTATGAATTTCCTCTTGAAGAGGCATGTTCCAAACAGGCATCTCATAAGTTAATGTAATTCATTTCAGTTGAACATTTCCTGAACAGCGTGCTTATTTCAGAGAAGGAATATTTATTTGGGAACACGAACATGCACTTACCAAGCAAGAAGTGAAAGACCTTCTAAATGCCCTGCCTGAGGCAATCCATCTCTTTAACATGTTTGCTCTTGCAAGAAGTCTGCAAGGATTGTTCATTATCATTTGCCATTGGAATTGTAGGCATTTAAGGGTCTTACTGAGCAAAATCGTGATCTTAGATCCACACACAGATCAAAACAGGGTATTGAATGTTGCAATCCCAAACAGCTAATCTGCTTGTATTCTGCGATCCATCCCCCTCACAGCCAGATCTCCTAAAAATTTGGCTGAAAATCATCAGCTAGCATGGGGGAGGAACAATAAAACAGTGGTGTTTTGCCAAAGTTAGCACCTGGTGGGCCACCGCTGCCACTATAGTTATCTGCACCTCTGCAGGTACCAGCGATCATAGCTCCTGTTTGCTGTGGATCACCATTCCTGCCCAGTGGTAATGGCAAAGACCAGGACACCACTTCCTATCACTCCTGTTGGCCGGCAGCAGCAATCAGCCGCCAACAGGAGCTGTGATTGCTGGAACCCAAAGGTGCAAGTAAATATAATGCTGGTGGCCCGTCATGGGCAAACCCTGGTGAACATTGCCATTTTATTGCCTACCCCAAACCCAACCTTCCCATTTGTACAAATGCATTTCAGACTAGTACAGAGCCCCCTTTCACGGAACACATTGGTGCAGCTTCCCTTCTTAGTTAGGCCTCAGCTGGAGTACTGTGTCCAGTTCTGGGCGCCACATTTCAAGAAAGATGTGGAGAAATTGGAAAGGGTACAGAGAAGAGCGACAAGAATGATTAAAGGTTTAGAGAACATGACCTATGAAGCCAGGCTTCATGAACTGGGCTTGTTTAGTTTGGAAAAAAGAAGATTAAGGGGGGACATGATAGTGGTTTTCAAATATCTAAAAGGGTGTCACAAGGAGGAAGGCGAAAATTTGTTCCTCTTGGTTTCTGAGGACAGGACATGGAGTAATGGGCTTAAAGTGCAGCAGGGGAGGTTTAGATTGGACATTAGGAAAACATTCCTAACTGTCAGGGTGGTCAAATATTGGAATAAATTGCCAAGGGAGGTGGTGGAATCTCCCTCTCTGGAGATATTTAAGAACAGGTTAGATAGACATCTGTCAGGGATGGTGTAGACGGAGCTTGATCCTGCCTTGAGGGCGGGGGGCTGGACTCGATGACCTCTCGAGGTCCCTTCCAGTCCTATTATTCTATAGAGCTTCCCTTCTTCATAGCCCACTTATTTCACTTAGGGGTACCAGAGCCTAGGGACTTATTGAAGCTTTCTTCACTCATTTGTGACTGCCAGTTCATTAAGAGATGCTGCTGTACCAAACTGGGATCATCTTAAACCAAACTTTAATGACAGGTTGTATACAAGGAATGAAAGTTTGTCTGATTAAGGGTCTCAGGATTTACCTCAAGTACATAAGCCCACCTACGTCCTGGGGTTTTTGTTGTTGTTTCTTATTGTTGTTTGCTTGTTAGTTTGTTTGTCCTGAGTGAAAAATTGTGCTCATGTAATTAGACTACTTATTAAAATTCAAACACATAAAGAACACAATTAAGAGGACGTTGCCTCAATTCTGACATGTATAGATTCTAGCTGCTGAGTGCTTTACTTTACAGTCCTTAATAATCTTCTTTTTGCTTAGCTTTTTGGACAGATTATAGGCATTGATATATGTATGCAATACATTATAGCAAATCTTGCCAATATGTCCCAATTGTTACTATACCAGAGGGTTTTGCATAATTATGGTCCTTTATTCTTCCTGTTTTATGCAGCAGGGTACCTATCTATTATTTGATAAGCAATCTTTTACCTGGTATAAGACAGGAAAAAAAGAAGTCCTAGGTTTAACAGCTAAAACAAAAATAAAATCAAAATAATTAGGCAAAGTCATCTGCGTATGCAGTACATACTAACTACTAGCCTCCTACTGGAGCAAGCGGATTGTGAAAAATCTCCCATATTCAAGGGCAGCATGATTCAACCCCATCTTACCCTTCACCAAGCTTACTATAGCCTTCACCAAGCTTCCCTTTATTTCTGTATCATAAATTGTGACTTACCACCCAGCATAAGATTTGTCCTCTGCAGAATAGCTAGCCCCTACAGCTTAGAAAAAACAAGGATTGGGCTTCTTGAAGAAACAGTAAGAATACCAGTTATTTGTTACAAATGTGTTATGTTCTTAAACAGTTAGACAGAAGGTCAGAATACGTAAAGCCAGACACAGAAATAGTCTGAGGAGTCAGACCACATTTAAAGCCTGTATACTAACTACCTGGATCTTGGATAAATGCACACAGAGGTTGTGTTACATCTGCTTCTTCCAGCAGGTGGAAGGAAGTGGATAATGCCTTGCCTCAGCACTCCATTATGCCAGCCTACAGACCTGGGCCAGTACAGAGAGGGAGGGTAATTATTTGTGGTTGGCACAGCCCACCATCAAATGATTACTCCCCTGATGCAACGAAAAGCAAGGAAGAAATTCAGTGATCTGCTGTTCCTTCCTTGGATGCTCAGGCAGTAAAGAATGCTCTGTGAGACATAATCTAGTCCAAAATATTTAGGAGAAACATAACATCATCAATATAATCCATTAAAAGAATAAAAACACATGCAGAAGAAAAGCTAGAGAGGATCCAAGCTGAGGAAGAAAAGAAAGAATGTTACCAACCTCCCAGACTGGTGTTCTTCAGTTACACACAGAACAAACAAGCTAAATTCAATGCCACAGAAAAAAAATTACAAGCAAAGAGACAGGTAACATCTCCCCACAGACAAAAGGGTAGTGTTTGGCATAGCAGCCTTACACAACCCATTAGTTGCCATGCCTGGGGCTTGTGTTGAGGATAGAGTCAGGGAACAAAACATCTAGCTACCTTCTAGAACATCCTAAGCAATGAAAAATTGGAGGAAAAACCCTAGCAGCAAGGCTCAGACTGGCATGGGAATTTGTCATGGTGACACTGATGGTACTGAAAGTCTTATATTGTAATGATTGGTTTATAATAAAAATTACTCCAAATGCTAGGTCAGAAAATATGATTCAGTCCATCAAATTATTGTCAGCCGTAAATTAGGTTGACCATCCTTAGGCAATATGGAACATAATTGGCTTTGCCTACTGCTTGTTTTATTTTTATGTGTTCTGTTCAAGCCAAAGCATTTGCTCCCTTATTTTGGTACAATCTGAGAAAAAGTTCACTGACTCAGTGAGTTACTCCCTATTTGTACTCAAGATAATTGGGAATAAATACCCCTGCATTTGCAAATCGATCCTGCATTTGCAAATTTTCCAGTGGGTATCTTCAGTTAAAATGAAGCTACTAAGATAACAAATAAAACTTCTAACATATGAATTTGGTGAGAGCCTCCTGCTAAAGCAGCTTTTAAATTGCCCATTGCTGAGTTGCCGTTTGGATTACATGTTATGCAGCAGGAGTTTGAGGATCAGGGGAATCTTCTTCTTTCCTTTCTAATCCTTTACATCTCATATTAGCTTCAGAAACTGCGGTAGCCGGTGAGGAGAGAGGAGAAAATGCACATTGCTAACTCCTTCCTCTTATTAAGGACTGCTCCTTTTAGCATGTGCAAGATGCAACCTGAACTTTTCACAAAACTGTGATACACCATAGTGAGATTATGTGAGCTTGTCTCTACTATGTGGTGGATCAGGATGCTGCAGCGATCAATCCACCTGTCGTTGATTTATTGTGTCTGCTTAGATGTGATGAATCAAGTTCTGAGTGCTCTCCTGTCAACCCCAGTAATTCACCAGGATGAGAAGAGTAACCAGAGTCGATGGAAGAACAGCCCCCACTGTGTTTACTGCATAAAAGATGCCGCTATTTGGGTAGCTGCCATTGTGTAGGGTAGATCGATGGAAGGGTTAAGTGTAGACAAGGCCTATGATGTAGCAATAGTTTGAAATAATATTTGGTAAATTTTAATGGTCATGCAAGCCACTTGAAATCAGGACTGTCATTTCCAATAGCAGCTAGCCTTCCTTAAGCCCCTAATGTTCTGTTGTGTTCCTTTACTCTTTTGCAGCATATAAACCAAGAGTCTATAGACTATATTTGCTTCCCTAGGTGCTCCCACACAATACTTACAGACAGACCCTAGCCTGTCAGGTCACATGACTCCTAAGGAGAAAAAATCTATATAGCCTGGATAACCTACATGCGTTGGAGGGGAGGATGATGTGTGTCACCCTGGACCCCACTGCTAAAGCACTTGCTGTTCCATTCCCCTGCCTGACTTCCCCTACCCCCCAAAATAACTCTACAGCTTCTGGGAAGCCATCTTTAGGGTCTGTGGATCAAAGGAAAAAGAAGCAGGGAGGAGTGCACATGGAGAATTCCTCCACACATGCAGAGCTAAAGGAAGAGATGATCCAACCTATATCTGTCTCAGTCCTCACACAGCATATTGCACAAAAGAATATTGGTGTGAATAATAGCTCACAGGAGTAAATAAAGTTAGTTTAAATAATTAACAAAAATCAAATAACTTTAAAAGGATGAATGAACTGGAGATACAAGTCAGCTATTAAGGGAATGAAGAAATAAAAATTATTTATTACAAACACTCTCTTGTATTCCATTTATATTGCTTCTCTCTCTCTCTGAAATTATGAATGGGATGTATCTCAGTTTTACATACCCTTGCAGTTGCTGAAAACCTAAAGCCAGGAGGAAGAGGCTCTTTGCTAGAAAAACTAAGTTTGCATTCATGATCCAGGCCTCGTGAAATTGTTTATTCTGATGAATGCACTATAGGCACCCTCATACAACTGTCTGAAGCACATACCGACATAAGCAAACAGAGTCATTTACAAAGAAAGAAGCACATTTTGAAGATAGCTGCTTTATTTAATTCAGTGTTTTCTGATGGATTGGACTGGAAATGGAGCAATTGTCTGCTAATACTGCAAACCTAGCTGAGATGGTAGATGTTGCTTTCTCTTCCTCCCAGTGCTGGAATTAGTGTCTGGCTAATTCCAAAAAGCTGCCGTTGCTTTGGATCAGACTCTGAATTCCTAAACCCTCTGCTAGCTCTACCCTTTTGTGAGTAACTGACCAACCTCAGCACTGGGAGAACAGGACATGAGAGCACCCTCTAGGGGAGCCTGTTGGCTTTTGAAATAAACTGGACCTTGCATGATAATTATAATGCAGTTTGATATTCACCAGTGATTTTAGAGGGTGGAAAAACCATGTTCTCACTTTAAATTAAAATGAGCCTGCACAAAACAGTACGCTGATGTTTTGGGTGTATGTGTGTGCTCTTTTCTCACAGTTCTCTGCTTAAGGTCCTGCAGCATAAATAGCTGGCCACCCACAAAGCATGAAGTGTAAACTGTGACTGTTTAATATTGTCAATATTGTTAATTATTTTTCTACAAGAGCAAAAAGAGGGGGGAAATACAAAGATCATTAGGGTTTCTATATATAAATTGTGTGTGTGTGTTTGTGCGCATGTGTTAATGACTAATTTATTCCTCTCTACAAACAAACAAAAAATGATGCCATTTTAAAGCTCTTCCAACAAATATAAATAGCAAATCCATAATTCTAGACGTACATGGTGTGTTTGAGATTTTTGTAGTTTGGGACTATATTATTGCAAATATGTTTCAATTAGGTTTGCCATGATAAGGTTTTCATCTGACTTTGTATTTAGTATTTCAATGAAAGTCCTGTGGATTAGTGACCCCTGAAATCT